CATTCATTATTACATTCATTATTACATTCATTATTACATTCATTATTACATTCATTATTACATTCATTATTACATTCATTATTACATTCATTATTACATTCATTATTACATTCATTATTACATTCATCGTTCTTTCCAAACACTTAATTGTTCACTAATTAGGGATAAGTTTTGTTAATTAAATGTAAGATTCGGATTGCATTTTCAAAATTATCCTATTTGTTAATTGCATGAACGTGTAATAATGATGACATTGTAATTTTTAGCAAGTTTAAAACTAAGTTTTAATATTTTGTAATTTAAATCATAATTAACATAAATTGTTTGACCAATTGATTACGTGATTAAATGGTAGACTCAAGTGAAATACGCGATCACAACAAAGCAACAGCTTTTAAAACTGCGAGAAGTGTTGTCTCAGACGCCAAGCATTCAGAAGATCATAGATATGGACGGATCGACGATCGGTGACCACAACTCGGTTGAGGTCTTATCGCTAAAACACGTGGAAATGAGTGGCAAAAAGTCGGACATTAAACTATCGGAGACCACACTCAACAAGAAAGACGATTTGGCGCTCATTATGTATACATCGGGAACTACTGGCGCTCCCAAAGGTATGACACAATACGCAGACAAAACTTAAGTTAATCTACAAAATACGTGTCAAAACACAGGTGCGATGGTAACCCACGGCCAGATCATAGCTCAGTGTAAGTCACTGTTGTGTATAATTAAGGACGAGTTGCCGATTATTAAACGCCACTGTTATGTATCATACCTGCCGTTGGGACACATGTTTGAGTTTTGCGCCGAAATATTCTTCGTGGGCGTCGGCTGTCGTCTCGGATACGCCTCGCCGTTGAAACTGTTTGAGGGCGCGGCCGGACTCGCGCCCGGAGAGACCCCCGATTTGGTGGCCCTCAAGCCGACCATCTTTCTGGCCGTTCCCCTCGTGTTGGACCGAATCAGACGCGGAATCACCGAACAGTTGGAGGGAAAACCGTTGGCGAAGGCGTTGTTCGCCTCAATGATCGACTATAAGGACCACTGGAGGGCCAAAGGCTACGCCACTCCCATCACTAATTACTTTCTGTGTCGTAAGGCTCGCCAGAAGTTGGGCTCAAATCTCACTTTTATGCTCGTCGGAGGGGCGCCGGTAAGTGTGTCGACCAACACATCCCATACCCGATATTGTGTGCGAATTAATAACAGACATGTATTGTGACCTCCATTTTGTAGGTGTCTTACGAGACGGAGCGACTAATTTCGCTCATATTTGACGTGTGGCTAATGCAGGGCTACGGCGGGACTGAAGTGTGCGGCGCTTCCCATTGCCGGGGCATCAAAGACCTAACCTTTGGCCACACGGGTCCGCCCGCCTCTGGCTTTAAGGTGCGAGTCGTTGATTGGCTCGACGGCGGGTATTCAGTGCGCGACAAACCCAACCCCAGGGGAGAGATCGTCACTAATGGAGACTCAGTTGTGTCCGGATATTATCTAATGGACGCCGAGACTAGCGATGCCTTTCGCTACGAAAACGGAGAGAAATGGTATTACACGGGAGATATCGGAGAGGTATGTGTGACACAAACGGCAGGCATAGGGTGTCTGTAGTTATGAGGTTACATATCATTCACATTGGGATACATTTCTAAATTTTCTATAATTTAAATTAACACAAATTTAATGCTTTTAAGTAATTCTTAAATTGAATTTAAGAAAACGAGATATTATTTAACTGAACTATAAGTCGATTTAAAGTGTTTGCGAATAAGTTGTGGTTTGTGTCCATCAGATCGACCGAAACGGATGTTTCAAAATCATAGACCGGAGGAAGGATTTGCTGAAACTGCAAAACGGAGAGTACTATTCGTTAGGCAAAGTGGAGGCGGCCGTCAAGAGCTGTCCATTCATTGAAAACATCTGCGTCTACGGCATCTCAACCCACGACTATCTCATAGCACTGGTCATCCCGGGTGTGACGGCTGTCCAAACATTGGCTAAGAAGTCATCTCTCGATGCCTTCAGTTTCGATCAGTTGTGCGCAAACCTAACCATAGAGTCGGCCGTTTTGGAGGCCATCCGCGCGTACGGACTGAAGAACGGACTCAACAAACGCGAACTGCCGGCCAAAGTGGCCCTCTTTGCCGACGAGTGGACCCCCGATAACGGTCTCCTCACCGCCGCTCTTAAGCTCAAGAGATCCGCTATTATTGCCAAATATAAGACACGAGTCGATCACATGTTTGGCGACATTAATAATAATTATAATAAAGAGATTAATAATAATTTTATTAAATATTAAATTTAAATACTAATTGTTTCGAAATGTATTATTTTATTAAATTAATTGCGGTTAGAATAGGTTTTTTAGTTTTATATAATTTATAACATTATTAAAAGTAATTGCTTTAATTATTAATTGTTTTATTTAATATAAATTAAAGTGTAATTATATATGTGAATTGTATTATTGAACTATTAATGAAATAATAAATTCAATGTTAGTAATATATACCCTAATATCCCAAACACAACCCGCATCTTCTAATAAAAATAATATATGATACATAACAAAAGTATTTGTGTTAACTATCATTTGACGATTGAATAAAATAGAACATATCAATTAGGTTAATACAATCAAAATCAATGAATTAATCAAACAAGGTTTACACAGCTATGCTATACGTTAACCACAATTCGGGTATTGCTCAAAGAATAGATTAGAATTATCTACACATTTAATAAGAGTCCATAGGATTAACACTCCCCAAAGACTTAGCATTGTCCATAGACTTAACATTAGCCCATAGGATTAGCATTAGTCCCATTGAGTTAGCATTTTCCATAGGATTAGCATTGTCCATGTTATCCCTATGCCATAAACTTAGCATTACTCATGTTAAAGTATACCCATAGACTTAAGCTGTAATCCCATGTTAATTCCACATAGACTCAAGAATCCCATGTTAAAGTATAGCCATAGATCGCATTAACTGTAATCCCATGTTAAACACATATCTAATTATAATATATAATAATTGATTAATTGATGTCTTTAATTATAAAAATTATTGTATAAATCATGTTCACACAGGTAAAAATTCGTATAAATTTTAAATTGTTATTATATTTTTAGGCGTGAGTGTATATGTGGGATATTAGGGTATATTTCAGTATTGCATTTATTTGAACGATTACTTGCAATGAGTTGTCATTATGTGTTAAGCTTTCAATCATTCAAGTCATTCAACTCATCACTTGTGCGGACACATCAATTGGTAAGTATTTATTAATTTAAACTTTAAAATAATTAAAACTATTTTATTTAATTGTAGCAAAAGATGAATGAAAATGTGGCCAACGGTGGAGCGATCGGCGGCGATGCGGAGGAGAAGTGGAGGGGCGGACACACGGACTACCGGATGGGAGACATCCGCGAGAATGGCATTCGTTGGCCGCGAAGAGCGTTGAGGGATGTCTTCCCAGCGATGGTCGCACTGCCGCACGTCTGCGAGCGCACAGTCGCCCAAATGCGGGCCCACTATATCGCCCAATGGGTAACTCAACGGAGTTCTCGACCAACACAATGAAAATAATTACTCATTTAATTATATTTTCAACATTTGTTTTAATAACCAATAATATTATGACTCATTTTTAACTGTTTCTACTTTTTAAAAATTTAAATATTACTCGTTTTTAAATTATAATTATTCAATTGTTTTAATTAAAATATTTTTTAAAATAAATGTTAAATTTCAATAATACAAATTGTTAATTAATACTTTAATTAATAAATATTTATTTAAATATAATTAAAACATAACTTTAATTAAAACCTTTTGTATCTTTTGTGTCGCAAAACATGTGTAAATTTATTTTAAATTTAATACTAATGTAATTAAATATAATTAGCTTTTGTTTGACATTAAATAATACGGTTTTTGTTAAATACTTGTGGTTTTGTTTGCATTTATTGTTTTGAAAGCAATTAACTTTCAGTCCAGAGATCAGTGATAATGAAACACAAAAACATAATTAAAACTAAATTAAAATTAAATGATTGTTACAAATGTCTGAATTAAAACACATTATAATATTTTTCATATAAAGTCGGGAAAAACTCAAGGATTTGTATGATTTGATTGACAAATAAATTAAATTTAAACTAAAATATGCCTAAAAGTAGTGAAACTTTTACATCAAAAGTAAATGTCAATTGAATTCTTGATTAAAAAACGTTTTAAAACATAATTATTTAAAAGTAGATTTGTTTGAGTCTTTGTGTCGACCATTGGCTCCGTATTTGCGTCACAACTAAACACGTGATAAGACATCACACAAAGGGTGCGACAAAAAGCCACGCAATTGTGATGACGTGGCCGTAGAAGTAGACCTCCCGATAGATATCAAACCATTGGGGGTATTGTAAGTGCATGAATGGCATAAAGCTATAGCCTAACAGGTATATCGTGTAGACCCGGAACACCGCAAACACCAACGCTTTGACGGCCAGTGTGTCCAGCAGTCGGTCGAGTAGTGGCCACCGCTGGCGCCGTTTGGCCACTTTGGCCAACACTTCGCTCTCCATTTTGATGATCATAAACTCCAATAGAAAGGTAACGAAATAACCGGAACACATGCCGTGCCATACGGCCAGGAATAGTAGTGTCAGCGCTTGACTCACGGTTCGGTTGCCCAGAAATTTCAATCTCTTGAACAGATAAATGGCGGCGAAGTTATTAGTGGTTAAGTTGAATGACTTGATCACACCGTTGAAGGTGGCCGTCGTCTCGAAGTGCCAGATGTGGACATTAGCGCAGCCGTAGTAGTGCTGTCCCGTCCACGAGACGCCCGACACCATACACGAGCCCTCGGCTATGAGCCAAGTGGCCAAGTATTTAGTCATTCCTACTTTGCATACAACCGCTATTGCCGTCACTTTCCACCAGAAACTGCTGGCCATGAAGTGATCGCTGAGGAGATACTCCTGCGGCCAGTAATGGGTGCCTAAGACATAGAACCCGAGGTAAAGGAGGCCGAGAGACAGGCGTCCGGCGGCCAATTGCCAGCAGTCGGACAGTCGGCTCTCGTTTGACTCGATATATGACTGGTATTTGCGGTACGATATGAGAGGACCCACTAATATAGTGGACGGGAAGTAACAGTGGCTCAAGAACTCCAATAGTGTAGGCATTCGTAGTACTGCTGTGTCGGCGTTGATCAGCACCGGTTCCGTGTCCTAAACACATCCAATAAGACATTATTAATCACTAAATACAAGCTATGAGTGGTTGGGAAGGGAAGGTAATTATGAGTCGAGTGTACGGCTCGGGTGACATGTTTGCTGAATGGGTGGTAACGGACCTGTTGTTTGTCACTGTCTTTGAGTTTGTTAGCGATGGCGTCATTCCGTCGGCCGTCGAAGACATCGAATGTGATGGCAATGAGTCTCAGAGTGAGCACACATTGAGGAAGAGTCCAACCGATGGTATAGATTGAACCGATTTGTGTGGCATAACAGCCGACGAGGAGATACACCAACGGAACCGTCATATTGACCACCAGAGCCGCCCGTATGGGACACCACCTGATCATAGCGTAACACAACAGACACACAGCCATCGAGTGGATCACGTGATGACCGCAATACGTGTAGACCAGCGCCACTCCCGACACGAGATAATACAAGAGTTTGACGGACTTCGCGGTCACTCCGGCGCCCAATACAGCCGTGTTGTAGACCACGGATATCACGTACGACACCACCAGACATACCATCAGTTGTACGGACTCTTCACTGGTTCCCACTTGCGATGAGATCCACGATATGAACCACATTTTGATCGCTGTTTTGGTCGTTGTTGTTGTTGTTGTTGTCGAGCACTTCCCGATGGTATACCTTCAACACCACCACCACTACCACAACCGCCGCAACCAATGATATACAACTAGTGTTGATTGAAATGCGGATCAATTGGTGACTAATATGGCGAGCGTTGATGTCTTGGGAAGTAGTAGTGATGGCAAACGATTAGTCACTCGTCAGACAATTGCAAATCATATGTTATTTTGCAATCACTTATGAAATGCTGTTTTTTCTCACTGTTTTCAGTGCTGTTTGTTTACAACGTTATAGAGTAGAGTCGCTGTCAAGAAGTACTCGCTGTTGTGTTTGCGTGTATTGCGTATGCATTGCGAGTACAGTGTGTTCGTAGAAATCAATGACATTTCTTTCTATTCGCTTGCCTTATATTATTGCTGTCATAAGACAAGTGATGTATGCATTTGTGTCACTCTCTCTCTCCCTCACAGACTCTTCCCTTTCCTTTGAGTTCCCGATGTTTTTTAGACACAATCGTGACGTCAATACCCGTATATATCAACACATTTACAATCTTATAACACACTTATCGTCATGTTTTTAGGGGTCTCTCTCCCGTTCACACTTATCGCAGACCTTCTTTAGGTGACCAATGAATGATAATTGTATCCATGATTATCGATCACGATGTTTATTCTCGTATAAATACACATTATCTGATTGTGGATACAATTATCTAGTTCTACTTATTCCATATAATCTCAAATGTCAACATGGTCGTTGATTATTGATTTTAATTAAATTTTGGTTTAGTATTTTGAGAGAGAGAGAGAGACACAAATGCATACATCACTTGTCTTATGACAGCAATAATATAAGGCAAGCGAATAGAAAGAAATGTCATTGATTTCTACGAACACACTGTACTCGCAATGCATAC